GATTTTTGACCCCCCCCCCCTCGTCACACGGCGTCACAAAAAGTCAGACCCCCCCTCAAATATGACGTCACAAAGCTCTGCCCCCCCCCCTCCAAAACCATATTTCCATTTTGAAAATAAAACATGCTTCAAATCGCTTTAAACTATTGTCATTGTAGTGCGTATTTAATGTGGCGCTGCACTCTGATGTTGTAGGAGAAAACATTTATAAAAAGTATATTTAATTGATTAGAACGCGTTGTCTATATTTATTTAAAGTTGCGCATTTTGATGTGACGTCACATTTCTCACCCCCCCCCCCTCGTCACACATCGTCACCAATGTCTGACCCACCCCCCCCCCTAGGCGCGTGACGTCATTTATGGACGGCCCCTTATTCAAACTGACAAAACACAACTGCGAATTGGAAACCGTGCGTGTCAAAGTGTACCGGTGGCCTTAAAGGGACACCGGCACGCTTTGCCCGGTGGCCTTAAAGGGACACCGGCACGCTTTTTCCGGTGTCCCCGCCAGTAACCCTTTAAGGCAGCGGTACCCAATCTTTCTGGCACCAGGGACCGGTTTCGTGGAAGATAATTTTTTAACGGACCGGGGGGGGGGGGTGTTCATCATTGGGTCTTTCCCCCTTTTCAAAGAAGCTCTCCAGCGACGCTTTGTTTTGTACTCATTGTGGCTACTAGGGGTTAGAGTTTGTGGGCTTACTCATTGTGGCTACTAGGGGGTTAGAGCTTGTGGGCTTACTCATTGTGGCTACTATGGGTTAGAGCTTGTGGGCTTACTCATTGTGGCTGCTAGGGGTTAGAGCTTGTGGGCTTACTCATTGTGGCTACTAGGGCTTGCTCATTGTGGCTACTAGGGGTTAGAGCTTGTGGGCTTACTCCTTGTGGCTACTAGGGGTTAGAGCTTGTGGGCTTACTCATTGTGGCTACTAGGGTTAGAGCTTGTGGGCTTACTCATTGTGGCTACTAGGGGTTAGAGCTTGTGGGCTTACTCTTTGTGGCTACTAGGGGTTAGAGCTTGTGGGCTTACTCATTGTGGCTACTAGGGTTAGAGCTTCTGGGCTTACTCATTGTGGCTACTAGGGGTTAGAGCTTGTGGGCTTACTCATTGTGGCTACTAGGGGTTAGAGCTTGTGGGCTTACTCATTGTGGCTACTAGGGGTTAGAGCTTGTGGGCTTACTCATTGTGGCTACTAGGGGTTAGAGCTTGTGGGGCTTACTCATTGTGGCTACTAGGGTTAGAGCTTGTGGGCTTACTCATTGTGGTTACTAGGTGTTAGAGCTTGTGGGGCTTACTCATTGTGGCTACTAGGGGGTTAGAGCTTGTGGGCTTACTCATTGTGGCTACTTGGGGTTAGAGCTTGTGGGCTTACTCCTTGTGGCTACTAGGGGGTTAGAGCTTGTGGGCTTACTCCTTGTGGCTACTAGGGGGTTAGAGCGTGTGGGCTTACTCATTGTGGCTACTAGGGGTTAGAGTTTGTGGGTTTACTCATTGTGGCTACTAGGGGTTAGAGCTTGTGGGCTTACTCCTTGTGGCTACTAGGGGTTAGAGCTTGTGGGCTTTCTCCTTGTGGCTACTAGGGGTTAGAGCTTGTGGGCTTACTCATTGTGGCTACTCGGGGTTAGAGCTTGTGGGCTTACTCATTGTGGCTACTTGGGGTTAGAGCTTGTGGGCTTACTCATTGTGGCTACTGGGGGGTTAGAGCTTGTGGGCTTACTCATTGTGGCTACTGGGGGGTTAGAGCTTGTGGGCTTACTCCTTGTGGCTACTAGGGGTTAGAGCTTGTGGGCTTACTCCTTGTGGCTACTAGGGGTTAGAGCTTGTGGGCTTACTCATTGTGGCTACTAGGGGTTAGAGCTTTTGGGCTTACTCATTGTGGCTACTAGGGGTTAGAGCTTGTGGGCTTACTCATTGTGGCTACTAGGGGGTTAGAGCTTGTGGGCTTACTTATTGTAGCTACTAGGGGTTAGAGCTTGTGGGCTTACTCATTGTGGCTACTAGGGGTTAGAGCTTGTGGGCTTACTCATTGTGGCTACTAGGGGTTAGAGCTTGTGGGCTTACTCATTGTGGCTACTAGGGGGTTAGAGCTTGTGGGCTTACTCATTGTGGCTACTAGGGGTTAGAGCTTGTGGGCTTTCTCATTGTGGTTACTAGGGGTTAGAGCTTGTGGGGCTTACTCATTGTGGCTACTAGGGGGTTAGAGCTTGTCGGCTTACTCATTGTGGCTACTAGGGGGTTAGAGCTTGTGGGCTTACTCCTTGTGGCTACTAGGGGGTTAGAGCTTGTGGGCTTACTCATTGTGGTTACTAGGGGTTAGAGCTTGTGGCCTTACCAACACTGTGACTGAGACAAGTGCGCGGTGCGGGAAAGAGGCGCGGATGGAAGTGGTGAATAATAAAATAATTGGCGGGCCACGTGCGGACTCACCGCTCTCACCTCCTGCTGCTGTGCGGCCCGGTTCCTAACAGGCCACGGACCGGTACCGGTCCGCGGCCCGGGGGTTGGGGACCCCTGGTTTAAGGAACTTCACTAGTGGCCCCACCAGTGTCCCTTTAAGGAACTTTCACAGTGACCTCTGCCGGTGTCCCTTTAAGGAACTTTGCCGGTGACTCTCACGAGTGTCCCTTTAAGGCACTTTTCCGGTGACTCCCGTCAATGTGTCCCTTTAAGGCACTTTTCCGGTGACCCCTGTCAATGTCTCCCTTTTAAGGCACTTTGCCGGTGACCCCCACCAGTGTCCCTTTAAGACACTTTTCCGGTGACCCCCGTCAATGTCTCCCTTTTAAGGCATTTCGCCGGTGACCCCCACCAATGTGTCCCTTTTAAGGCACTTTGCTGGTGGCCCCACCAGTGTCCCTTTAAGGAACTTTCACAGGCACTTTGCTGATGACCCCCACCAGTGTCCCTTTAAGGAACTTTCACAGTGACCTCCGCCGGTGTCCCTTTAAGGAACTTTGCCGGTGACCCTCACGAGTGTCCCTTTAAGGCACTTTTCCGGTGACCCCCGTCAATGTGTCCCTTTTAAGGCACTTCGCCGGTGACCCCCACCAATGTGTCCCTTTTAAAGCACTTTGCTGGTGACCCCCACCAGTGTCCCTTTAAGGCATTTTTCCGGTGACCCCCGTCAATGTCTCCCTTTTAAGGCACTTCGCCGGTGACCCCCACCAATGTGTCCCTTTTAAGGCACTTTGCTGGTGACCCCCACCAGTGTCCCTTTAAGGCACTTTGCCGGTGACCCCCAGCGGTGTCCCTTTAAGGACCACCGCCACTCCTTGCTCAGTGAAGTGTTCAGCTCACTTCTGTGCACCCACATCAGCGAAGATCAAAGTGTGGCTTTCAGAAGAAGAGAAAGAAACGCACACAAAGGGGGGGGGGAGGTGGTGAGGGGGGTGCAAACGTCTAAAGGAACTCCCCTTTCTTCTCCCTCTCTCCCTCTCTCTTTCTCCCCGTTCAGCCACGATGGGTTTTGCACAACAACATCTACCGGGTTGAACACTTTTCCTTAGCCTGGATTCTTCCAGCACTTCCATTCACAGTGCAAGTCGTGGCCATCCGGCCAGCTCGACGCCGAATTCTGGTTTAGGCTCGTGGGAGCTGTGATTACAGATTCCGGGTTTGACGTCTTAAGTTGTCTGCTGTGCGCGCGGTCGCGTCTTCACGGTCGCGTCTTCACGGTCGCGTCTTCGCGGTCGCGTCTTTACGGTCGCGCCGCTCGGCGTCGTTCGGCGCGACCCTCCGACGTTTGGTTCCGCGTTATAGCGATGGTTTGGTCGGCGTCCGTTCGGATCTCACCGTTCGGATCTCACCATTCGGAATCTCACCGTTCGAATCTCACCGTTAGAATCTCACTGTTAGAATCTCACCGTTCGAATCTCACCGTTCGAATTTCACCGTTCGAATCTCACCGTTCGGATCTCACCGTTCGAATCTCACCGTTAGAATCTCACCGTTAGAATCTCACCATTCAGACTCTCACCGTTCGGATCTCACGGTTCGAATCTCACCGTCGCACGGTAAGATTTTATTTGGCTGCTGCTGTAAATGTCCTCACACGGCGATGAGCCACACTCCGTTGAGCTGTCATTTGTGTCAGCCAGGTCGCTTTCTGAACGAAAAGAGCTACATAGCTCAGCGGGGCCTTACCTGCTAAAATAAAATAAAAAGTTTTAGTTTAATGTTATCGAAAGCGGCCCGTGGAAGTAATATCACTGAACTTACTTCCGATATCTCTTCAACTCGCCAACTTCATCCACACCACGTGGGCGCTGCAGTGTTGCCCGTGCACGCCACACCACAGGCTCTTCGCACGGCAGTCAAAACCCAGGGAGTTATTTTCTCAGAGCTGGAAATTTAGCCAAAGGGACGTAACAACAATCTAATTTAACGTGATGCGTTTTATTTTAGGTGCGGTCATCGGTGACCGGGTTCAGACCTTCCATTGTCTACGCTTGAGAAACACGGTTTAGTCGCAAATCAGTCTCCGTGGGTCTCTATGCAGGTCGATGGGTCTCTCGGTAAGTCCATGGGTATCTACGTAAATCCGTGGGTCCATATGTAAGTCTATCGGTCCCCATGCGAGTCTATGGTCTCTATCGAAATCCACAGCTGTGTAAGCCTGTGGGCCTCTTAATGGGGAAATAATTGGTCTCTGTCAATCAGTGGGTCTCTATACACGTGTGTTGGTTTCTGTGTAAACATGTGGGAGTCTGTGAGCATCTGCGTGCCTGTTGGCCTGCGCGTGAGCGTCTCGTGGGGAGTGGTGGTGCAGTGGTCAGCGTGCTGTGCGTCGAACCCGGCGACCCGAGTTCGATTCCCGCTCACGGCCAACGTCAGTGGCGATTATAATCTGCACACATTCCTCGGCCTCCACCGAGGGTGAATCTCAGACCCCGGGTGCGATGTTGTCAACGTGGTCACGGGGAGAGACTAAAGGCGAACCCGTGCGCGAGGCTGACCAACCACCCCCCACCCCACCACCTCGTGTGCCGTTCCGGCCTTCCCTTCGTGAGTAGTTCCGGCCCGCTCACGGCACTCGCCACAACAGTCTGTTGAGGCTCGCTACAGGGGGGGATCATTTGTCGTTCCGTGGCAGCGGCGTTGTTTCCCGCAACCTCCGATTAGCACGGCTGGCGAGGTTGCGGTGCGAAAGAAGATCGACGCATGGGGGAGATCTTTGTCTTCGGGGGTTTCTGTTTAATTGTATTATTATTGTTCTCTCTACGTGAGCCTTGGGGGGCGGCGGGGTCACTTCGTAAGCCTCCGGGGACCGCGCCCGAGACCACCCAACCGAGACCCCCAAACTGGGAGCGGCGGCGGCGTCTCTGAAACCGCCAGGGGGAGGAGGAGGCCCTCCCCGACTCCTCTCCACGCCGAGGCGACGCCCGCGGCACCACCGAGGGGGCTGACGGCCCCCAGCCCCGGAGCGAGGGGCCTTGAGAAAGGGGTGGCCGAGAGGACGCGACACGGCACGGCGATCAAACGCGACACCCACACACACACACTCCTCCTTCCCCCCCCCACCACTCTCCTCCCCACTCACCCGCCCACACTTCTCCCCACACTCCTCGGCACCTCCCCCCCCACCCTCACAAAAACACTTCACGCGGCCACCTCGAGACGCTAGCGCTTGGCGATGGCAGGGCCGTCTCGGTCTTGCAGTGGCGGTGGTGGTGGTGGAGGTGTTGGTGGAGGTGGTGTAGAGTGGAGGTGGTGTAGAGTGGAGGTGGTGTAGAGTGGTGGTGGTGTAGAGTGGTGTGGAGTGGAGGTGGTGTAAAGTGGTGTAGGGTGAAGGTGGTGTGGAGTGGAGGTGGTGTAGAGTGGTGGTGGTGTAGAGTGGTGTAGAGTGGAGGTGGTGTAGAGTGGTGTGGAGTGGTGTAGAGTGAAGGTGGTGTAGAGTGGAGGTGGTGTAGAGTGGTGTGGAGTGGAGGTGGTGTAGAGTGGTGGTGGTGTAGAGTGGAGGTGGTGTAGAGTGGTGGTAGTGTAGAGTGGTGTGGAGTGGACGTGATGTAGAGTGGAGGTGGTGGTGGAGGTGGTGTAGAGTGGAGGTGGTGTAGAGTGGAGGTGGTGTAGAGTGGTGCAGAGTGGAGGTGGTGTAGAGTGGAGGTGGTGTAGAGTGGTGTAGAGTGGAGGTGATGTAGAGTGGAGGTGGTGTAGAGTGGAGGTGGTGTAGAGTGGAGGTGGTGTAGAGTGGTGTGGAGGTGGTGTAGAGTGGAGGTGGTGTAGAGTGGAGGTGGTGTAGAGTGGTGTAGAGTGGAGGTGGTGTACAGTGGAGGTGGTGTAGAGTGGAGGTGGTGTAGAGTGGAGGTGGTGTAGAGTGGTGTAGAGTGGAGGTGGTGTAGAGTGGAGGTGGTGTAGAGTGGAGGTGGTGTAGAGTGGAGGTGGTGTAGAGTGATGTAGAGTGGAGGTGGTGTAGAGTGGAGGTGGTGTAGAGTGGAGGTGGTGTAGAGTGGTGTAGAGTGGTGGTGGTGTAGAGTGGAGGTGATGTAGAGTGGAGGTGGTATAGAGTGGAGGTGGGGTAGAGTGGAGGTGGTGTAGAGTGGTGTGGAGTGGAGGTGGTGTAGAGTGGAGGTGGTGTGGAGTGGAGGTGGTGTAAAGTGGTGTGGAGTGAAGGTGGTGTGGAGTGGAGGTGGTGTACAGTGGTGTAGAGTGGAGGTCGTGTAGAGTGGTGTAGAGTGAAGGTGGTGTAGAGTGGAGGTGGTGTAGAGTGGTGTGGAGTGGAGGTCGTGTAGAGTGGTGTAGAGTGAAGGTGGTGTGGAGTGGAGGTGGTGTAGAGTGGTGTAGAGTGGAGGTGGTGTAGAGTGGTGTGGAGTGGAGGTGGTGTAGAGTGGTGGTGGTGTAGAGTGGAGGTGGTGTAGAGTGGTGGTAGTGTAGAGTGGTGTGGAGTGGACGTGATGTAGAGTGGAGGTGGTGGTGGAGGTGGTGTAGAGTGGAGGTGGTGTAGAGTGGAGGTGGTGTAGAGTGGTGTAGAGTGGTGTAGAGTGGAGGTGGTGTAGAGTGGAGGTGGTGTAGAGTGGTGTAGAGTGGAGGTGGTGTAGAGTGGAGGTGGTGTAGAGTGGAGGTGGTGTAGAGTGGAGGTGGTGTAGAGTGGTGTGGAGGTGGTGTAGAGTGGAGGTGGTGTAGAGTGGAGGTGGTGTAGAGTGGTGTAGAGTGGAGGTGGTGTAGAGTGGTGTGGAGTGGAGGTGGTGTAGAGTGGAGGTGGTGTAGAGTGGAGGTGGTGTAGAGTGGTGTAGAGTGGAGGTGGTGTAGAGTGGTGCAGAGTGGAGGTGGTGTAGAGTGGAGGTGGTGTAGAGTGGAGGTGGTGTAGAGTGGTGTAGAGTGGTGGTGGTGTAGAGTGGAGGTGGTGTAGAGTGGTGTGGAGTGGAGGTGGTGTAGAGTGGAGGTGGTGTATAGTGGAGGTGGTGTAGAGTGGAGGTGGTGTAGAGTGGTGTGGAGTGGAGGTGGTGTAGAGTGGAGGTGGTGTAGAGTGGAGGTGGTGTAGAGTGGTGTGGAGTGGAGGTGGTGTAGAGTGGAGGTGGTGTATAGTGGAGGTGGTGTAGAGTGGAGGTGGTGTAGAGTGGTGTGGAGTGGAGGTGGTGTAGAGTGGTGTGGAGTGGAGGTGGTGTAGAGTGGAGGTGGGGTCGAGTGGAGGTGGTGTAGAGTGGTGTAGAGTGGAGGTGGTGTAGAGTGGTGTAGAGTGGAGGTGGTGTAGAGTGGTGTAGAGTGGAGGTGGTGTAGAGTGGTGTGGTGTAGAGTGGTGTAGAGTGAAGGTGGTGTAGAGTGGAGGTGGTGTAGAGTGGTGTAGAGTGGAGGTGGTGTAGAGTGGTGTAGAGTGGAGGTGGTTTGGAGTGGTGTAGAGTGGAGATGGTGTGGAGTGGAGGTGGTGTAGACTGGAGGTGGTGTAGAGTGGAGGTGGTGTAGACTGGAGGTGGTGTAGAGTGGAGGTGGTGTAGAGTGGTGTGGAGTGGAGGTGGTGTAGAGTGGAGGTGGTGTAGAGTGGTGTGGAGTGGAGGTGGTGTAGAGTGGAGGTGGTGTATAGTGGAGGTGGTGTAGAGTGGAGGTGGTGTAGAGTGGTGTGGAGTGGAGGTGGTGTAGAGTGGAGGTGGTGTAGAGTGGTGTGGAGTGGAGGTGGTGTAGAGTGGAGGTGGTGTATAGTGGAGGTGGTGTAGAGTGGAGGTGGTGTAGAGTGGTGTGGAGTGGAGGTGGTGTAGAGTGGAGGTGGTGTAGAGTGGAGGTGGTGTAGAGTGGTGTAGAGTGGAGGTGGTGTAGAGTGGTGTGGTGTAGAGTGGTGTAGAGTGAAGGTGGTGTAGAGTGGAGGTGGTGTAGAGTGGTGTAGAGTGGAGGTGGTGTAGAGTGGTGTAGAGTGGAGGTGGTGTAGAGTGGTGTGGAGTGGAGGTGGTGTAGAGTGGAGGTGGTGTAGAGTGGAGGTTGTGTAGAGTGGTGTAGAGTGGAGGTGATGTAGAGTGGAGGTTGTGTAGAGTGGTGTAGAGTGGAGGTGGTGTAGAGTGGTGTGGTGTAGAGTGGTGTAGAGTGAAGGTGGTGTAGAGTGGAGGTGGTGTAGAGTGGTGTAGAGTGGAGGTGGTGTAGAGTGGAGGTGGTGTAGAGTGGTGTGGAGTGGAGGTGGTGTAAAGTGGTGTGGAGGTGGTGTAGAGTGGAGGTGGTGTAGAGTGGTGTGGAGTGGAGGTGGTGTAGAGTGGAGGTGGTGTAGAGTGGTGTAGAGTGGAGGTGGTGTAGAGTGGAGGTGGTGTAGAGTGGTGTGGAGGTGGTGTAGAGTGGAGGTGGTGTAGAGTGGAGGTGGTATAGAGTGGTGTGGAGTGGAGGTGGTGTAGAGTGGAGGTGGTGTAGAGTGGTGTAGAGTGGAGGTGGTGTAGAGTGGTGTGGAGTGGAGGTGGTGTAGAGTGGAGGTGGTGTAGAGTGGTGTGGAGTGGAGGTGGTGTAGAGTGGAGGTGGTGTAGAGTGGTGTGGAGTGGAGGTGGTGTAGAGTGGAGGTGGTGTAGAGTGGTGTGGAGGTGGTGTAGAGTGGAGGTGGTGTAGAGTGGTGTGGAGTGGAGGTGGTGTAGAGTGGAGGTGGTGTAGAGTGGAGGTGGTGTGGAGTGGAGGTGGTGTCGAGTGGAGTGGTGTAGAGTGGTGTGGAATGGAGGTGGTGGCGAGCATCATTGGCTGGAATGGAACTTGCCATGAAGAAGGGTCATTGCCCGAAACGTTGCCTATTATTTATTTCTTTGAAGGCCACACACGCGCAGTGTTGTTATTGATGAACGTGTTGAGTCTTGTTGTTGTTTATGCTTAGGCACCACTGCCGCAACAATAACAGCATCACCGTATGTATGTTGAACTTGTATGTTGTATGTATGTTGAACTTGTATGTTGTATGTATGTTGAACTTGTATGTTGTATGTATGTTGAACTTGTATGTTGTATGTATGTTGAACTTGTATGTTGTATGTATGTTGAACTTGCATGCTGTATGTATGTTGAACTTGTATGTTGTATGTATGTTGAACTTGTATGTTGTATGTATGTTGAACTTGTATGTTGTATGTATGTTGAACTTGTATGTTGTATGTATGTTGAACTTGTATGTTGTATGTATGTTGAACTTGTATGTTGTATGTATGTTGAACTTGCATGCTGTATGTATGTTGAACTTGTATGTTGTATGTATGTTGAACTTGTATGTTGTATGTACGTTGAACTTGCATGCTGTATGTATGTTGAACTTGTATGTTGTATGTATGTTGAACTTGTATGTTGTATGTATGTTGAACTTGCATGCTGTATGTATGTTGAACTTGTATGTTGTATGTACGTTGAACTTGTATGTTGTATGTATGTTGAACTTGTATGTTGTATGTATGTTGAACTTGTATGCTGTATGTATGTTGAACTTGCATGTTGTATGTATGTTGAACTTGTATGCTGTATGTATGTTGAACTTGTATGTATGTTGAACTTGCATGCTGTATGTATGTTGAACTTGTATGTTGTATGTACGTTGAACTTGCATGCTGTATGTACGTTGAACTTGTATGCTGTATGTATGTTGAACTTGCATGCTGTATGTATGTTGAACTTGTATGTTGTATGTATGTTGAACTTGTATGTTGTATGTATGTTGAACTTGTATGTTGTATGTATGTTGAACGTGTATGTTGTATGTATGTTGAACTTGTATGTTGTATGTATGTTGAATTTCTTTCACACGGAACGTCGCCAACCGTGCTAATCGGGGGCGTCGTGGAAAGGCAACAAACTGAAACACACAAAAGCCGTTCGAGAGAAGTGAGGTTTCAACTATTATCATGGGTCATCGCATTAATGTAGGTACACAAAGACAAAGATCCCCCGTAATAGCCTCAACATACCGTTGGGGGCAAGTGCCCTTAGCGAGTAGCCCCTCTGAAGGCCGGTACACGGCACACGAGGGAGTGGGTGACCAAC